ATCTGCTGTCCGGAGAACACTTCCTGATTAATACTGTTGAGATTTTTGTAGGGATAACATTAAGCACTTTCATGTGTTTTACTTCAGAGAGAAACTGCATCTCTTTTTAGTACTGACAAATTCACAGTTACAGCGACTTACGGTTGTACACTAAAAATCATATAACAGCTTCACGGTTAACATTGGGACTTCTACATTTGCCGAGAGAGACTTTTTTCGCATTTTACTTTTTCACTTTTTATTGCAACTGAAAAGACGAAATCAATCGAATCGTCGATGAAATGTCAAGATCACCAGCAGGTTGGTTGTGTAAATATTTGGTCACTGTATATAAAAACCTCATTATATGTCGGTCTCCTTTATCCCGTTTCAGTCGTATTTTGGAATGCACCTGCATTCGCAGACGTTGCACTTTGTTACTTTTGCTTTGCAATCCTTTTTTTAACTCCCTTAAGAACCCTTATTTTCATTTTCTCTTTTCACATTTCCCTTTACCCTAATTGCGATTTTTACATTTTGGTACATTTTCAACCCCTCCAAAAAACTATCACATCCTCTGCTGGGGCGGTTCTTACTCCCTTTATAACCCCCCACCATTTTTCGGGGCTCGGTTTCTTCTTCAGCTTCTTCGTCAACTTCACTCTCCTCGACCGACATCACCCCGGCTCGCCAGTTACGACTCCTACCGTCGCAATCTTCGGACACTACTGGGACTCGGACATCTTCGTCTCGAAGCCAGAACTATTCGACGTCGAAACCCCCTTTGCTAAATCCACTGCTGGGCAGGTCATCACGTTCGTCAGAGCCCAAGCATCGCGCTTTGTGTATTATTGCTATTGTCTGCGTCGTAATAAGTAAGACATAAAACTTATCATTGATCTAATTGGCTCTCCATTCTATGCACCACGCCATCCAGCGATCCACACACATAAACACTCATCCCATAAAAATTTTTACTGTTGCTATTCTCCTGGAACTAAATGCATATATATCAGAACTGTGACTATATTGTTTGTGTGTATGTTTTCTGTTGGTAATGTTATAATGTCATCAAGTAAACGATAATGTAGTGTTATCAAGTAAAAGATTTTACATTATCCTGCGAGTTGAATTCTGAGGTTTTGCACTACACTTTAAAACGACAGCACTAAAACGACTATTGTTCGCCTGTACTATTTACAGAATGTGTAAATTTTTGATAATTCTTTAGCTTTTACTCATAGGTTCCGATTCTCCGATTTCGCAATTTTTTTTTTTTCATAAGCAGATTTTCTTCATTTTTTCTTGCAATGCTGTATTGTTTTTTATGCGTTTTTGCATAATATGCAAAACCACATATTGTGACGACCCCGGTGTGCGTGTGTGTGTGTGTATGTGCAAGCTCCGGCACCAAAATTTTGAGATTGGGTTCCTCGGCCAAGTGCCACCCCAGAAACGTGGTACCAACCCTCAAGCGTGTCTAGCCCCGCGTACGAGCGCCTCAAAGTTTTGGCGAGAAAGTCGGTAACTCC